GCAAGGATGTGGGGGGAAAAGGTACCCTAATCCACTGTCAGTGGGAATGTAAACAGATAAAACCACTATGGAAGACTGTTTGGAGATACCACAGAAATCTGAATATATACCTACCATATGATCCAGCCATCCCATTCCTGGGAATTTACCCAAGAGAAATGAAATCAGCAAATAAGAGTTATCTGCACCCCTATGTAGCTCAATTCACAATAGCTAAGACATGGAATCAACCTAATGCCCATCAACTGAAGACTGGATAAAGAAATTATGGGATATGTACTCTATGGAATACTACACGGTGCTAAAAAAAATGAAATCCAGTCATTTTCAATAAAATGAATGAATTGAGAAAATATCATACTTAGTGAAATAAGCTACTACCAAAGGGACAAATACCATATGTTCTCCCTGATCTGTGATAACTAACAGGGCACCTAAAAGGACACCTATAGAAGCAAAACTGACATTTTGAGAAGCAATGACTTAAACAGCCCTTGTCTTGACTATCAAGGAACAGGTTTTTTTTTTCCTTTTCCTTCTTAATTCCATTGGTTGAACTCTTTATCTAACATAGAATTAATCATATATGTATAAAGTCAAGTGAAAATAGAACCCAGTAAAAACTAAGAGTGAAAAAAAGAGAGGGAGGAGCTGTATTGTCCTGAATAAATTCCTACGGACATACTTCTAAGGGTTCAGCTAAAAACTTGCCATGGGACTCCAAATCCCATTAAGCTGGGTGGTAATAACGTCTTCCTAAGTGTTAAAGTGATCATATTAAGTGTTAAATTGATCATATAGATAGGATAAAGTATGAAAAGGATCATATAAATAAGACCAAGTGTCTGGTAATAACAATAAATAGAATTAAAAAGGAGAGAATGTTCCAACATGGGAAGCACCTCTCACAGCAGACTCAGAATGATAATCTCTTTAAATAGCACTCTGACCTCAGAATCAGCCCTTAAGGCATTCTGGTCTGGCTGAAAATCAACAAACAACAGAAATCAACAAAAAATAAATGCTGGCAAGGATGTGGGGGAAAAGGTAACCTAATCCATTGTTGGTGGGAATGTAAACTGATAAAACCACTATGCAAGACAGTTTGGAGATACCACAGAAATATGAATATATACCTACCATATGATTCAGCCATCCCATCCCTGGGAATTTACCCAAGGGAAATGAGAGCATTTCAGGCAAAGCCAAGACACTGTTGCAAAAATAATGTCCTACAAGAAGGATCTCTGTGAGACCCCAGTGGGGCCATCAAAGAAGGATGTACTTTTTCCTCTGAAGGGAGGAGAGAACTTCTACTTTGCTTATGGCCTTGTCTAAATACTGATGGAGACTGTGGACAAAAAAAAAATGCTTCCACATCCTTGGCATCTCATGTCAAGAGCCTCAGGTGACAGGGGCAGGTGCTGTGGCATAGTGGGTAAAGCTGCCACCTGTAGTGCCAGCATGCCATATGGGCACCGGTTCCAGTCCTGCTCCACCTGAATCTGGCTCTCTGCTATGGCCTGAGAAAGCAACAGAAGATGTTCCAAGCCCTTAGGCCCCTGCACCTACATGGGAGACTCAAAGGAAGTTCCTGGCTCCCAGGTTCAGATCACCGCAGCTCTGTCCATTGCAGCCAATTGCAGAGTGAACCAAAAGATCGAATACTTTCTCTCTCTCTCTCTCTCCCTCTCCCTCTCTCTCCCTCTCTCTCTCTCTTTCTCTCTCTGCCTCTGTCTCTCTGTAACTCTGTCTTTCAAATAAATACATAAATATTAAAAAAGAGCCTCAGGTGATCAATGACATCATACATAAGAGTGCTAATTGTTAAATTGACAACAGGAGTCACTGTTCACTTACTCTCCATGTAGGACCTCTGTCCTCAATGAGTTGTACTATGATAATTAACTGTAAAACGTGTTCTCAAATAGTTTTTATATTTTGTGTGTATGTGTGCAAACTGTTGAGATCTTTACTTAGTATAGAGTTGGTCTTCTGTGTATAAAGTTAATTGAAAGCAAATCTTAAGGGAGAATGGGGGCTGGGAATTGGAGAGAGAGGAGGAGGTGGGGTGGGAATAGTGGTGGGGGAGTGGGTATAATGGGAATAATCTCTCTATATTCCTAAAGTTGTACTTAAGAAATTTGTACTCATTAAATAAAAGGTTTCTAAAAAAAATAAAATAAAATAAATTTAAAATTCAGAAAGTTGTAAGCCAACAAAATAAATCACTATGGCATTGGCATGATAAAACAGAAAAAATATTCATAAATGACTGTGGGAGTTAGAAGAAGGCAATATAGGGGCAAGCATTCTAGCAGTGCAGGTTAAGTTGCCCTGTGGGAAGCCCATATCCCACATAAAAATGCCATCCAAATCCCAGCTGTTCTTCTGTAGTGGCTTCCTGTAATGTGACCTGGGAGACAAAGAGGGGTCAAATGTCTGGGTTCCTGCCTACCCATTTGGGAGACCTGGATAGAGTTCTGGGCTCCTGCCTTTTGGCATGGCCCAGCCCTTGCTGTTGCAAGCATCTGAGTAGTGAACCACCAGATGGAAGATTCTCTTACCCTCTCTGTCTCTCTCTTTCAAGTAGATGAAAAAAATAAGCATCTTTAAATGTAATATAGATAGATTAAGGAAAGTTATTTCAGCATACATGAAAATATATTTGCGGTAAAGAACTGATATCAAAAATAAAATTTTAGGCTGGCGCCGCAGCTCACTTGGCTAATCCTCCGCCTGCGGCGCTGGTACTCCGGGTTCTAGTCCCAGTTGGGGCGCTGGATTCTGCCCCAGTTGCTCCTCTTCCGGTACAGCTCTCTGCTGTGGCCCAGGAGTGCAGTGGAGGATGGCCCAAGTGCTTGGGCCCTGCACCCACATGGGAGACCAGGAGGAAGCACCTGGCTCCTGGTTTTGGATCCGCACAGAGCATCAGTTTCAGCGTGCCAGCCATTGCAACCATTTGGGGGGTGAACCAACGGAAAAGGAAGACCTTTCTCTCTGTCTTTCTCTCTCACTGTCTAACTCTGCCTGTCAAAAATAAAAAATAAAATTAAAAAAATAAAATTTTAAAGTCTGAAAAGAAAATTGTGCCAAATATTCACATTCTTTTAAGTCTAAATATATAGATTTCACAACTATAATGAGTAAAACTTATATGCAAAGAGTCTTCAAAAAGTCTTCAAAAGTTCACTGGAGCTATGTATCTTGAAAAAGAAACTATGCAGGGATTTCAAAAAACATTTGTACCAAAATAAACTTACCTTTTGGTTCCAAGTTTCCATGAACTTTTTGAACTCTCTTTGTATATAAAAAATGATGCAGTGAGAAAGTAACTCATCAGAAGTGCAGAGTTCATCCTAGTCACTGCTCTATCTTCAGAGCCTATAGCAGTGACTGCTGCATTGTAAATGACAAGTAATTCATGTTTTTCAAACAACAGCATTTAAGTCTATTTCTTTGACTCAAACTTAACATAGATTTTCTTGTTTCATCTATTTATTTATTTGAAAGACAGAGTAACAGAGAGATGGAGAGAGGGAGGAAGGAAGAGAGGGAGGGAGGGAGAGAGAGAGAGAAAAAAAATATCTTTTCTATCTGGTGGTTCATTCCCCAAATGCCTGCAACAACCAGGGTTGGGACAGGCCAAAGCCAGGAGCCTGGAACTCATCCAGGTCTCCCAAATTGGGGGACAGGGACCTAAGTACCTGGGCAATCATCTACTGTCTCCCAGGTGAATTACCAAGAAGTTGAATCAGAAGTGGATGAGCTGGGACTTGAACCAGCAGTTTAATTGGAGATGCCGGCATCCCAAGCTGCAGCTTAATATGCTATGTGACCACACTGGCACTAGGTTTTTTCACATAACAAAATAGTTTAAAATATCTGCAATTTCCACAAGGAAGTCAGCTAGGATTCTCACAGGAAACACACTGTATGCATAGAGCAGTTCTGAGAACACTGCCATTTGAGCATTGTGAAGTCTTCCCATCAATGAACATAGGATTTTTTTTTATTTTAGTAAAAAAGCAGTTACAAAATTCTACCAATTGGTGATTCCATTCATATAAAAGAGACAGAATGTAGGTTCCCTCAAATGATGGGAAAAGATGGAGGGATGAAGGAGTGATAGTAAAGCATATAGGCTTTCTTTTAGGACAGATGAAACTTCTAAGACTAATTGTAAAGGTTGCTTCACACATCCATGAATATACTAAAAACTATTCAATTCTGTGCATTAATTGGCTGAAGCACATATAGTGTCAACTACAGTCATATCTCAAAAAAGCTGTCAAATATTTGAAGTTTAGGAGGTATAATTTTTACAAATGCTTGAATTTTAAGCCTTCAAAGAAATTGATAGGAAAAGTCGTAAAATTCGCAAGAAAGAAATGGTCAAAGACAAAATAGTGAATTCACAAGAAATGCAAATAGCAAATAAACATGAAAAAAGCCAGCACCACTAGTTGCTGAAATAAAATGAAAATAAACAAAAATGAACAAAAAAATCACCTGCCTATCAAACTATCATGCTGTTCATAAGGACATGGACAAGCCCAGCCCATTAAATATAGCTCTAGAGATAAAGAGAGATACTCAATCACATATATATACATACACACACAGATGTTAAATAGATCTAGATTTTGTGACTCAAAAAATCCACACGCATATACATGCAGAAAGGAAGCATACCAAAAGAGTATTAGTGATTATGTATATTGTAAAATTATTTAGATAGATTACAATGATCAAATATTATTTTCTAGACATATAAAATATTGTTAAGAATTTATATACAAGTGAGACTTTCCCTTTAATGTAATCAAAAGAGTTGAATCAGCAGTGAAAATTGAAGCATTCTGAAAAGATTTTAGGCAGCTGCCCATAGCAGAGTGAACACAAAAACGTTTCTGTTGGTATGACCTAATGCCCAGGAAAGGAAACGACAGGTGTCATGGGATGTGGCCATCCATGCAGTAAGCATCCTCATTCATTACCTGCTTTAGAAGTAACAAGCTGCAGCACGAGAGGTCGTCTTGTTACGATGCCTGATCCACGGGGAAGAAAGTCCCTAAAAAAATTAAGAAATAACAGATGAAGGCATCAAGAAATTCTGACCAACTATAAATTTATCAGTCAAGTTCCACAGTAATTTTCCTAATTTCTCACCTGTCAGTGTATCACGTACATGAAGAATTCTACATTTAGCACTAAAAGAAACATTTGAAAAGTTATAAAGGACAGGAGAGGGCTTATGGTTAATATTAATGTATGCATATTATTGTAAACACTTCATTGTAATATGCCATGCCATTCATTCATCTAGCTATATTTAATAAAACTTTGCAGTAAGTTTCTGTGTGTTATCAATCTGTTTTCAGAGAAATATCATTAAGAAGAACATTTAATGCTGAAATCGATTCTTAAACATTTTGGTGATTAACAAATCAGTATTCTCTCTAAATTCAGGATCAAGTTTAGCACCATCAAGTACTGAACACTATTAAAGATACACTAGATTGTATCTTCTTAAATATACTGAAGTTTTTCTAAAATAAAGAAATACAAAATGTGTGATCAAGTAGAGTTATTGTGTCTAGAAATTAACAGCAGAAAAAAATATTGCAACTTGAGTTTTGTTTGTTCCCATACAGGCAAAATTAGTTTTACAAATGCCATCCTGTTTTTTGACAGGCGGAGTGGAAAGCGAGAGAGAGAGACAGAGAGAAAGGTCTTCCTTTTCCGTTGGTTCACCCCACAATGGCCACTGCTGCCGGCGCGCTGCGGCCAGCACACCACGCTGATCCGAAGCCAGGAGCCAGGTGCTTTCCTGGTCTCCCATGCGGGTGCAAGGCCCAAGGACTTGGGCCATCCTCCACTGCACTCCCAGGCCACAGCAGGGAGCTGGACAGGAAGAGGAGCAACCGGGACAGAATCTGGCGCCCCAACCAGAACTAGAACCCGGGGTGCCGGGAGGATTAGCCTATTGAGCTGCAGCACCGGCCACAAATGCCATCTTTAAACTGGCATTTTAATATGTATTAGATCAATAAGCTGTATCAGAAAGTATTGTGTAAATTGCATATATAATGCCACATACATCATTGTTGATGGTGCAATATCAAATAATTCACAAATATGCTAAGAAATAGTTTTTAAACACGTTTACAATTCCTCATAACTCTCAGAGGAATCACCAAAGAATTCCACTCAAAATGACTCAACAGTAGTGCTTCTCAAAAAATTGTTCCAGAATCACCAGAAACTGTTTTAACTGTAGTCACTTGGGAACTTGCAGATCCATAATATTCAGTGGAACACATGTGGCACCTGTACTCCTAGCAAGCTCTCAGGGGATTCTGAGGTTCACCAAGCTTTGGGAACCAAACACTGGCTCCAAGGCAAGATATGCTACTCAACAATTCAGTGAATGATAACAGTATGGGCCATACTATAAGTTTTGTAGGAAGTTTGCCAGGACAGAGCTTAAATATAAGTGAGATTTCACTGAAGAGCAACTTATGAAACAGGAAAAGGCCAGTGAGAATGCTCCAAAACCTATCCCTTTAGCTTCACTGATACGTTAGAATGCAGTTACTTGAGCAAAATTCCCCTGCCACAACAAACTTACTTTGCAAGTACTAGAGTATATTCTGAGAGAAGAAATAATGCCAAACAGCTTGTAAATGATGTGAATGGCTTTTCTTCCTAACCATAAGACATTTAAGTACATAAGTTCATTCAAAGTTCATTTAAAATCTGACTGTATGCATTGGACTAAAATGAAAAATAGTAAAACTACAGATGTGTATTTGCTCTAAACAATGCCACCTGAAATAAAGATTATTATTTATTCATGAAAAAATTCCTAAGAAATCAAAGACTATAAGGGAGATATAGTAGGCACGGCTTCATGCTAGATGAACACTACTAAGGTGCACGCAGGGTTTGAAATCTAATGATAACGGGGCCAGCACTGAAGACAGCAGGTTAAAGCCCTGGCCTGAAGCACCAGCATCCCATTTGTGCGCCGGTTCTAGTTCCGGCTGCTCCTCTTCCAATCCAGCTCTCTGCTACGGCCTGGGAAAGCAGTAGAAGATGACCCAAGTCCTTGGGCCCCTGCACTCACATGGGAGACCGAGAAGAAGCTCCTGGCTCCTGGCTTCGGATTGGCGCAGCTCCAGCCGTTGTGGCCAACTGGGGAGTGAACCAGCAGATGGAAGACCTCTCTGTCTCTGCCTCTCGCTGTAACTCTGTCTTTCAAATAGATAAAATAAATCTTCAAAAAAAAAAATCTAATGGTAACATAAAGATATTCACACTGAAAAACCATTGAAGAAGGGAATACAGAAACTATACTGGAGGGAGCGGGCATTTGTTGCAGCAGTTAAGTCACTACCCGGAACAGCTGCATCCCCTATTGGAGGGCCTGGCTGGAGACTCAACTACTCTAATTCAGATACCCAGCTTCCTGTTAGGGCAGACCTGAGAGGCAGCCAATAATGGCTCAAGCACTTGTGTCCCTGCCACCTATGTTGGGAGACGTGTGTTGAGTTCTGGTCTCCTGGCTTAAACCTGGCCAATCCCATGGCTGTTACAGGCATTTAGAGAGTGAACCAGCAGATGAAAAATTACCACCTCTTTCTTTCCTTCTCTTTCTCTCTTTCTCTCTTTCTCTTTCTCTTTCTCTTTCTCTTTCTCTTCCTCTCTCTCTCTCTCTCTCTCTCTCTCTCTCTCTCTCTTTCTCTCTCTCCCCCCCCTCTATCTTTCTTTTTAAATAAAATAAATAAAAATTTCTGCTCTTTCCCAGGTGCGGTAGCAGGGAGCTAGATCAGAATTGGAACAGCCACAACCCAAACCAGCACCCAAATGGATGCCAGCATCACAGATAGCTGCTTAAGCCACTGCACCACAATGCTAGCCCCATCAAATAAAATAGTTTTTAAAAAGTGTTTAAACTGGGGCCAGCTCTGAGGTATACAAGGTTAGGCCTCCATCTGCAGTGCCAGTATCCCATATAGGTGCTGGTTCCGGTCCCTGCTGCTCCACATCTGATCCAGCTCCCCGCTCATGTGCCTGGAGAGCAGTGGAAGATAACCCAAGTGTGTGGGGCCCGACTCCCACATATGAGAACCAGAAGAAGCTCCCGACTCCTGGTTTCAGCCTGGTGCAGCCTGGCCATTGAAGCCATTTGGGGAATGCACCAGCAGATGGGAGATTCTCTCTCTCTCTCTCTCTCTCTCTCCCTCCCTCCCTCCCTCCCTCCCCCTTCTCTCTCTCTATTTCTGCCTTTTAAATAAATAAATCTTTTTAAAAAATGTTTTAACTACATTGAAATTTACAAAAGACAGAAATCTAGAACTGTCATTGTGGCACAGTAGGTTAGGCTATCACTTGGAACACACACATTCCATTTTGGTGTACTGCTTCAAGTTCCAGCTGCTCTGGTTCCTATCCAGCTCCCTGCTAATGTGCTTAAGAAGGCAGTAGATGATGGCCCAAGTGCTTGGGCAACTGCCACCTACATAGGAGACCTGGATGGAGTTTCTGACTCCTGGTTCCAGGCAGACTCCCAGCCCTGGCTATTATGAACATTTGAGGAGTAAACCAGCAGATGCAAAATCTCCCTCTCTTTCTCTCTCGATTTGCCTTTTAAATAGTTAAATAAATAAACATAATTCTTAAAGAGAGAGAAGCAATACTCTCATTATAAGACTGAATATATCTAACTAAATATTTTTAATATTCTCCAGGAACTATATTAGAATAATTGCCAATTCAGATGATATCAATAAAATTTAATCAAAATTAACACAGCATGTACTCTCTGCCTATAATGAAAATGGAAAAGATTAATCTAGAATCCAAAGGAATGAAGGCAAAACAAAACAAAACAAATACCCAGAGAAAAGAGCTGGAGGTAATCTGAGCTGTGAAGACCATAGATGACTTTTTTAAATGTATACATGCCAAAGAGGAAGTATAAAGGTATTAAATTCCTGAATAATGCTACTTAACAAATCAATAAAATATTTTCTTCAAAAAAAGAAGAAAAGAAACGAAGAAGGAGGTTTAATCACTTTATTTCTTCATGCCGGGACCTATTTTGATGCATGCTTGTGTGACCACACATTTGTAATAACAGCTCATTTGAACATTATTAAAGCAAAGTAGAATATATCAGGCATGCAAACTAGCAAAAAAGTGTCATGTGTTTGGCTAGAAAGTAAATCCACATTTATATTTAGCACTCTTCTGTCCTTTTTTATTAAGTATACAGAACTTTGCATTGAGAATAAAAACTGGACTCGGGAACTGCACACTCTTCTAATGTTTTTTAAAGATTTACTTGAAAGGTAGAATTAGAGAGAGAGAGTGAGAGAATCTTCCATCCGCTTGTTCATTCCCCAGATTACTGCAACAGCAAAGGCTGGACCAGGCAGAAGCCAGGAGCCAGAAGTTTTTTCTGGGTCTGCCACATGGGTGCAGGAACCCAAACACTTGAGCCATCTTTAATTGCTTTCTGGGGCACATTAGTAGGGAGCTGGATTGGAAGTGGAGAAGCCAGGACTTGACCCAGCGCCCATATAGGATGCTGGCATTGCAGGCAGTGGCTTAACCTGCGACACCACAATGTCCACCCTCTACTCCCTTCTAAATAATTAAGGCTCACTGATTGCCTTCACAGTTCTCACTCATGTACCTTCAACACATATGTTTTTATCAGAAGTCAAAACATTTGGCAATCAAATCCTGCTATTTGGAGTCTTTCCTGCCTACTTCACAGGAATCTCTGAAGTGCAAATCTAAGTGCTTTATATAAATTAATTTATTCTATCCCATAACAACCCTTTGAGGTAGCTACTGTTATTCTCACCTCAGAAATGAGGAGACTGAAGTATAGGAAAGCCATATAACTTGCATAGGGCCACAAAGCTAGTATGTGGCATGCGGGACTCAAACCTAGATATTCTAACTCAAGCATCTGCGCTCTTGACCATTAGACTACACTACACTACACTGTAAAAGAAACAAAGAAGGAAGATAAGGAGTCAATATTTGGACATGTTG